AAAAAAAAAAAAAAAAAAAAACACGATCGATTCCGAACTCTGAAACGCAAAATCGATTAAAGCAAGAAAACAGAAAACAGAGGCCAACACGATAATCATCTTCAAAAACAGAATCTGATCCAAAGTCTGAAAATGCAACAAGAATCAGTGCGTACCCTAGCTTTGCTTCTCAAATCGAGTCCCGATCCTCCGATCCTGCAAGAAGAAAAACAAAAATAAAGAAAACCGCCAATAATCACAATAAGAGAAGAGATAGAGCGATTGAGAGGCACAATACTCACCATACGTATTCGGCAATGATCTTCTCGGTGGTGTCCGTGAGGTTAAGATTGATGAGATCGGAGAGGAGAGACATGGCGACGGTGGCAGAGGAAGAAAAAACTAAATAGAGAGAACGGGAGATTGTGAGAAAAAGGATAGCAGAAATGAAGGATTAAATAGCGAATGAACCTTCTCAAATCTTAAATTAACAAATTTAGTCCACCAATTATTTATTTAAATTAACAAATCTTTAATTTATTTTAAATAAATCTATTAAATACAAAAATTCTAAAAAAATGTATAAATAATTTTAAAAATTAGATAATTAAATAGATATAAAATTAAAGGCACTTTTTAATTCTTGTTTGATACATCTTAATCCATATCAATATTTAAAACTTTTTATTGAATTTATCATGATTAATTTTCACATGATTATAAATTATATTTCCAGGTATTCATAATATCAATTCAAGCAAAATTATTGTAATGTTTTGTAATGTTATCAAAATTAGAATGATTTTATTTAAATTTATTACAAAATTTTATCGAAAATTTTTATTTATACTAAATTAGAATTTAAAAAATGAAATAGTACAATATCTAAATATTGAGAGTATTTTTGTTGGAAACAGAATCTAAAAATAAAAATTTAATTATTTAATTATTATTATTATTTTAAATGTCTATAGATAGAGGCGTTGTTAGAGGGAGAGCGAGATATTGGGCGCTCTTTGGCCCAACGAGGGCGCTTTCTTCAATTCTGTTTTTCTTGTTGGTGAACTCGAAATTGGGAGAGATTTCGAATCCAACTCATTCGAACTTGGGTCCGTCCCAAAAAAAAATTACTTAACCCAACTCAACTCGTGCACATGTCTATGTCCCACCCCATTTACGAACTTGGGTTGGTATCAAAAAATTACTTAACCCAACTCATGTACATCTCTACGTCCCACCCCATCTCCCATGGATCTGTTTTTTAGGGTACCCTAAAAAAGAAATAATATTTTCTCTCCCAGCCCAATTCAACCCATATACACTCCTACTATAGATCCCACCCCACCTTGTCTCCACTGGATATGTTCTCGAGAGTACCCTAAAAAAAGAACATCGAGGGTACCCTAAAAAACAAGGAACATTTTCTCTCCCAACCCAATTCGACCCATATACACTCCTACTATAGACTCCACCGTGTCTCCACTGGATATGTTCTCGAGAGTACCCTAAAAAATGGAACATTTCCTTTTCGAAACCCTTTGCCATTTTGGATTAAGAATATATGAATGTAAAAGCATCTCTCTGTGTAAGAACTTCCACAACGTAAAAAAAAATGTCTCTCTAAGAATATATGAACTGTGATTTTTTTTTTTTTTTTGAAGTATTATATTATAATTTTTTATAAAATATTATTGAATTTAGTAGGATGTTTATTTGGTTTAAAATATAATTTATATTAGAAAATAAAAATAATTATAAAATATAATTGAGGGAGAGGAAGGGCTATTATTGTAAAATGCTAAAAAAGTATGGATTAATGAATAATAATAAGGTTCCAAAATGTTTAACTAAATTTACTTTATTCCACCACGTTGATTTAAGTTTTGTTTTTTTCTGTAAAATAAAAAAGACAAAAAAAGAGTAATTTAAATGCGGACAGCTCACACGTAACAACTATCCATAATTAAATTTCGTGGTGAAAATTATGTTAAAACCATTAATAAATATGACCATGTATAGAAAAAATGTCCATCAAAGGCAACTTTTACCATATATTTCCATACCACCATTTTCCAATCTTAATCTTATATTATTTTTAAATAAAAGGTTTAAATTCACGTTGGATGATGAAAGTCCCACATCGACTAATCTAGGGTGAGATTTTCACATTTTTATGAGGAATGTTGTTTTGTTCCCTTTCGATCCACCTCATTTGTAGGTCTAGCATTTTCGTTCCCTTCTCAAACCGACGTGGGATCTCACAATCCACCCCATTTGGGGGTCTAGCATCCCCGTTAACACACCGGTCGGTGTCTGGCTTTGATATTATGTATAACAATCCGAGCCCTTCACTAGCTGGCTTTATAGCCTGTTAAGTATTGTCGTCTGCCTCAAGGTTTTAGAAAAATCAATATCTTTAAAATTTCTCAAATTCTATTGGAAATTATGATAATATTGGTTTTGTCAGAAATCATTCACTCTCAATGATATAATATTATATACTTTGATCATAAGTTTTTATATCTTTCCTTTCGGTTTCTCAAAAATCTCGTACCAATGGAGACAATGTTCCTTACTTATAAACCATCTTTCTCCTCGTTAATCAACGTGGGACTACTCTTTTCAATAATCCTCAACAAGTTTCGAGGTGATATGACACATAATTGAAACCAAGAATATTACAAGACTGCGAGTCCATCCTAGCCCAAACACTTCTCCTTAAATCAACCCACACTATACCAAATCAAAAGCATCAAATTTTTTATATTACAAGAAAATCTCTACATAGGAAATCTTCTCACTTTCTCACTATAAAAACAAATTCATTTAAAAACACATCGTTACGATGAAGAACTTGTTTTAGTTGATTTTTTTTAAAGCCAATTTGGAAGGAAAATTCAGCGTTCGTTAATGGTAGCTAGAAACAGTGACCTTAGCCTGAGGACCTTCCTGGATGTAGATGAAGACACACTCAGAGCCAGGCTGAAGCAATCTCAGCCATGGCGGAAGCTCGTAAATCCCTTCTTGTTGTGTCGGAGACAGTCCCCAAATAGGGCCTGAGAGATTTTCGAGGCGCAGTTTTAGATCGGAGATTGGCTTTCCCGATGTGTTCTTGATCTTCACTTGGTGCCTGTAATAGCTCTCCTTGCTCACCATCCATGTGCTTGTTATTGTGTGGATGAACTCCACTGGAGCCCCTGCAATGAATCACAAGATCTTATTCAAGAACACGAAGAACACGAAGAACAATATTAAATTTGTTAATCCGTCTTTTTTTGCTCACCTACTGGCACAGGGGCATTGGCGTTGGGCGATTCCTTTTCAGGTTTCACCGGCGGCGGATTTCCCCGGGATCCTGTTTCGAAGGACGAAAATGAAATCAGCCAAGAAATTCACACAAACGAAACCCTAAAATCAAAGCCTAATCTGAATTACCAGGAATACGGTAGCCATTAACAGAGCTCTGCAATTTGGAGAACAGGCCAAGCAGAGGAGCACAAGCGGTGAGAGTAGGCTCTGTTTGTTCATACTCAGATCGATCGTCATCGAATCTATCGTTTTTGTCCGGACCACCGACGAGAGCGCCGTGAAGAACATTAGGGTTTCCTTGAGGGCGATGGTACCAGAAATCGAAGCCTTGAACGCAGCCGATTGGAGAGGGATCGGTGAAAATCGAAGCGATTGAAGAGCCTCTGTGGTGGAGTTTTTGGGGAAATTTCGATCCGTAGCCGATTAAATAGCTGATGGAGTTAGGGTTTTTGCCGAGGATGTAATCGGCCTGCGATTGCGCGAAGTTGAGGAGTTCTTTAGGCTCGAAGACGCCGTCGGGACAAGTGAGCTTAGCGTTGGCGTCGGAGAGGTAGACGGAGTAGACCGCCATGAGGAATGCAGCGGCGGAGGCGTATTGCATATTGTTCCATTCCCGGACGTACATCAACCCACCTGCGTAATTTGCCGGCGAGAATTAGCTACTAAAACAGAACAAGTTTTTTTTTCCGGCGATCGGACATTGGCTTACCGGGAGTTTTATTGATATTGAATCCATCGTTCTTCTGAAGACAAGCGCAAGCGAAATAGTCGGCTTTCGCCTGATATTGCTTCAACGTGGACCCATAAGCGGCGGCGCGTCCCTCCAACAACACCTTGGTTAGAAGAACCTGAACGCCGGCGTATTTGTTGTCCCAAGAGAATTCCTTCATTGCCCATCCAGTTCCACCGAACGACACCGCTTTATCTACCGTGTATTTCAAGTAATATTCATCTCCGGTGGCTCTGAACAACCACGCCGCCGCCCACAGCAGTTCATCCTTCAATTTTGTAAATAAAACGTATGAGGAATTGAAACACCAGAGGAAAGAGGAATTCAAATTTCATTTCTTACCCAATATCCAGATGAACTGTAGAAGTCTGCAGCACATGGGATCGAATCGTCGTATAATCCTCTAAACGTGTCTGCAAATGTGAAAAGCTGCAAGCAAACGGAAAGATCATGAATTTACAAGTAATGAATATTATCTTTGTTGTCACCGAAAAATTAAAAGCAAAGTTACAAAAGGGTCGAGTCCTAATATGATATCAGAGTCATGACAATAGAATTTCAAGTGCTCAACAAAAAAGTTACGAGCTTCGAAGGTGCAGTGAAAGATGATTCAAATGTCAAACAAATGATGCACTTTGTTTGAGGGCTTTAGAGAAAGGGTCGAGTCTCGATTAAGGGCCGTTCGAGAGCTCCAAAGAAGAGGCCTCGAGGGATGAAATTGTGAACCTCAAAAGTGTAATCAAAGGTGACTCAAATATCGAACAAATGGTGCACTTTGTTTGATGGCTCTAGAAAAAAGTGAAGCCTCGATTAAGAGGAGGTTGTTCAAGAGCTTATGAGAAAGAGGCCTCAAGGGGAGGTTCGATAGTGTATTATGTTCGAGGGGATGATTATTGAGTATTATTGAGAGGAGTAGTCCCACGTTTGCTAATTAAAGTAGACAATGATCGAACCTCTTTAGCATGAACGAGCAAGAGATCGGAATAGGAGGAGTTGTAAGATTTGAAAGCAATGGAAGCGGCGGCCAAGGCGGCGGCAGTTTCACCGGCGAGGTCGGAGCCAGGATGGGACTCATCGAGCTTGTAAGCTGTTCGGGGAGTGGACATATCCTCGGGGCGCTGCCAACAGAAGTGATCGGAGGCGCCATCGCCCACCTGTGCCCAAAGCACGTTGCGCTCAGGGTGCGCCTTGATCAAGTAATCAGTGCCCCATTTAATGGCCTTCAAAGCTTTGTCCATATGGTTCAGATCTGTAATTTCCTTCTTGAAATCAATGGCACCCCATGAAAGTATTGTCGTCACGAACGCCATTGGCAGCCCGAACTTCACATTGTCTCCGGCGTCGTAGTACCCTCCCACTAAATTCACCTGTTAATATAAAGTTAATTTCCATATTTAGAAGATAATTAATTTAAATAAAAACCAATTTTATGGCCGGAAAACTTACTCCTTGAGCAAGACCATCCTTAAGACCAGAATCCCCCCGCCACTTGACACGGCGGTCCGCCGGAAGTTTACCGGACCTTTGCGCTTCCAAATACAAGAAACTCAAATCCACAGCATCACCATAGTTGAAGTCGCCGGCGGCGGCTTCAAAACAGAGCACGGCGGCGACCAAAGCCAATAAGTAACCACGTGGCATCATTTTAAGACACTCAGTTTGATCGTCTGAGTTTCAATTTGTTATTTTTGCAGATTTCAAATTTTCATTTGCCTTTTATAACAGAAATTGGAATTTATTTATTTAGTGGTAGCCTTCACGTTGTTGAAGAAGAAGAAGAAGGGATGCTTTACGACACTGTCGGATCAAGGCCCTCACGTCGTTTCTATGGAATTGGACTTAGTGGGGCGCAAATATGAAGTGTCGTTTCGGTCATTTTTTAATTGTGGTCTGCCATTTCATCTGGACCGTCCATTGCGCCAAGATTGTTTTGATGGAGTTTCATCGTTGACTGTGATCTGACTTTTGGAAGCAATATTAATTTATTTATTGGGAATTTGGAATAAAATCCAAAGGCGTGTGTATATATTTATTTTTTTTTATTTTTTTTCCCTTTTGGTTCTTTGGATATGGAATGTTAGGCGGCTTATCTGTTATTTGATTGGGTGACAGGAGAAGACCGTGTGATTTATTAAAAAAAATTAATTAAAATAATATTTTAAGTTCTTATCTAACCAACCAAAATTAAGTACGTGTACTTCCTCAAAATAATAATAATAATAATAAAAAGAAAAAAAAAATGTTTTATTTATTTGACAAAGATTTAATCATATTAATTGAATGTATATAATTTAACCCATGTTAAAGTATATATATATAAAAAAAAAAGAGACTCAAATATGTCATAAATGTAAAATTTTCAATTAATTTAAAATTATATATATATATATATATATGTATATAAGAGCTTAAGGTCAACCACCCTTAAAATTTGGAAAATAATAATTAAATTAGTTTAGCTACTATTAGTTCTAGAAACAAGGATTTTATTAAAAATAAATATAAAATATGTTATATGGTTATGATCATTATTTTTTTTTAGCCAATATTAATTTCTACAAATTATAGGTAATTTGTAACTATTTTTTATTTAATTTCATTTAAAATAAAGCTCAAAATCTCCTTGTTTTTATTATATTAACTACTTTACTTTCTTATATATAAATAAGTCTTCGGATAGCTATTTTTAATGAGGAAAAACTAATTTTTACCTCTAAATTTGACCATTTTTTATGTAAATCTTATCAAAATTCACTCACTATTTTTTTAAATTTTCACAAACAATTTGGAGAAAAATAAAATGATTTGGAGATGCGGGGTATCGATCCCCGTACCTCTCGCATGCTAAGCGAGCGCTCTACCATCTGAGCTACATCCCCCTATGTTCTGTGCTTTCTTCTTTTTAATATTTATTTCTTTAAAACTTATCTATTTGTGTTCCAAGACGCTTCAAAATCACCCGCGAAGCCGTTGAGAGAAATTGTATTGGATAACGTGAGAGATAAGAGGTCGGCCAACTCTTCTCTGCTCCTTTCCTTTTCTCTACAATGGCGACTCTGCAACAACTCCTCAAACCTTCATGGTCCTCCTCTCTCTTTGCTTCCACTTCTCCACGCCATTCCCTCTCTTCAACCACTCCCAAAGCCTCTCTTCAGAATTCTATCATCAATCGCCGCCAGTTTGTTGCTGAGACGGCGGCCACGGTCTCTCTGTCGCTTTCTCCGTTTATTGCTCCCGTACCACCGGCGAAGTCTGAAGAATCTCTATCGGAGTGGGAGAGACTTTACCTTCCTATAGATCCTGGCGTTGTCCTTCTCGACATTGCTTTTGTGCCCGATGATTTGGACCGTGGTTAGTTTCGATTGCTTTGGTTTTCTTTTTCCTGATTGTTCATTGATTAAGAAATGCACGAGAATTTTGTATTTGTTTTTTTTTGCTCCGATTTTTTCGAGTCGCAATTTGGGAGCTCACTGCTCATTGTAATTAATTGTTGGAAACATCTGGAGTTTATGAACATTTGTACATTAAACAGTTATTAGAACGTTTAATTGTCTGTTGTTTTGTCGTCTCTTAGGACTTGAACTCTATTCTAGTTAAGTTAAGCTGGTCTTGTGAAGCTTTCCAATTATTTTTATATCAGTTTCTTCATCAAGAATTTTTTTGGGGGTGGCGAGCTGGGGATTTGGTGACTAATTGAATTTGTGGAAAGAAATTTCTGATGTTCATTTTTTGTTCATATGTTTTGATCTACATTTCTGATGTTCATTTTTTGTTCATATGTTCTTATCTACATTGTTGGGGATTACGGATTTTGTAAAGGCTCCTGACTGTTGTAATTTGTAATTTCTCGTTCGCCAATAATATGCCATGAAATCATTTGACACTTACAGACCAATGCAGGCTTCCTTTTGGGGACTAGGCAAACCATTTTAGAGACGAAAGATGGTGGAAGAACATGGGCTCCGCGTTCAATACCCTCAGCCGAAGAAGAAGACTTTAACTACCGGTTTAATGCTATTAGCTTCAAAGGAAAGGAAGGATGGATTGTTGGCAAGCCTGCAATTCTGTTGTACACTTCGGATGCTGGAGAAAGTTGGGAAAGGATACCTCTTAGCGCTCAGCTTCCTGGAGATATGGTAAATTACTATTTCAAATATGACCATGCTTGAATTTTTGTTTGTTCTATTTTTAGACTATCCTCAAATGCTTGGTCGGTTGAATGATACGCTTTAGCCTTTTCTTTAGCAAATGTAGTTATAATGCTCATTTCATGTCGCTAAGTTAAGACCATAGGAGCACGAACCTATTATTCACAGCAACAAAAAATGGGTTGTGAGATCCCACATGTGTTGGAGAGGGTTACGAAGCATTTCTTATAAGTTATAAGGGTGTGGAAACCTCTCCATAACAGACGTGTTTTAAAACCTTGAGGGGAAGCCCAGAAGGAAAAGCCGAAAGAGGACAATATTTGCTAACTGTAGGCTTGAGCGGTTACATGTGCTCATTACAAATTAAGATGGAAATTTTGATTGTTTTAAGTATATCTACAGGTATAAATTAATCTGTTCATTTCTGCCAGAAAGTGCTTATATTAAACTCTAAAGTGGGTAATTCTACTCTAAAACCTTCAGGTCTACATTAAAGCAACTGGAGAAAAAAGTGCGGAGATGGTTACTGATGAAGGTGCAATTTATGTTACATCAAACAAGGGTTATAACTGGAAGGCTGCGGTTCAGGAGACTGTTTCTGCCACTCTTAATAGGTGAGCTTCTGCAGGAGAGAATTTTCTATTCTATTAGTGTTGAAGACAAAAGCCTCGTTGTTTAGAATTTTACCTTGAAACCGTCGTGGAATAATTCATAGGCTGATAACTGATAAGATTTTACTGGCTGCTTGTGACAGGGAATCATTTGGGCCACAGTTCACTAGTTTAGCTCATTAAAAGGAAAAATTCAATCCCGATTATGAAATGCTAATATGGTTTCTTTACCTTTTTCAGAACCGTTTCTAGTGGTATAAGTGGTGCAAGCTATTACACTGGAACCTTTAACACTGTCAATCGCTCTCCCGATGGGCGTTATGTAGCTGTTTCAAGTCGTGGTAACTTCTATCTCACCTGGGAGCCCGGGCAGGTTTAACTTCTGTATTTCTTTTACTCTTTGTCTCTCTACCTCTAAGTGTATTGCTTTCAACTGGTTGTGAAGGCAGTTTGCTCCTGCTAAATAAACTGTTGAGTGATGAGTTTCTTGTGGGGCTTAATCGCCATATTTGTACGACTTAAAAACTTGGTTTTATTTGCAATGCCAGCCATTCTGGCAGCCACATAATAGAGCTATTGCAAGGAGGATTCAGAATATGGGGTGGAGAGCTGATGGTGGTCTTTGGCTTCTTGTTCGTGGAGGAGGACTTTTTCTTAGTAAAGGGACAGGGGTAAGTAAAGTTGAGGACCGTTTATTTGCGTTTCTCGTCCAGCCACCCTAATGGAAAATATGAAGAATGGTTTACAGTTGCAATATGGTTTGATTTTTACTAGTTACTCAAGCATTGAATATTGTATATGAGGTTGGAGCTTTAGGCTTTTGGTTGCATAATAACTCAATAGTGGAATCCTATAAACACGATGCTTTTCAGATTTGCTTCTATTAGAATTTTTTTTGCAGTTTTTTCTTTTCTTAATCAAAATGATGAAAACATAGCATTTGAACAGAACTAATTTTTCATCATATTCATGATTTTCTTGAAAATAGAGTGACAAGTAAGTTCTAGACTGTCATTGTATAGGATATATCTACACTGTTACTTCCCAGAGTTTCAGCTAGACCTCTCAGCCAACTCATGTTATATATTATCTGCTTGTTGAATTCAATATGTTTAATATAACAGATCAGTGAGGAGTTTGAAGAAGTTCCAGTTCAAAGCCGAGGTTTTGGCATATTAGATGTTGGTTTTCGTTCACAGGTAATCTTTTAAGATCACTAAAATGCCTATACTTTTGTGCGTCTGCATTCATATTTGAAGACTTCTGCTAATATTGTGATTGAGATAGAAATCTGAATTTCTTTGTTGTAAATAGCTAAAGTTGACCTTCTTGGAGGCGAACTTAATGAATTTCGTTGATTTGCATAAACAATTACATAAGGGAAGGGCCAGACAGAAGCCTCAATATGATTATTTAGTTTTTGATTACACGTGCTGTACAGGAAGAGGCTTGGGCAGCTGGAGGAAGTGGAGTACTTCTGAAAACTACAAATGGTGGCAGGACATGGACCCGTGATAAAGCAGCTGACAATATTGCAGCCAACCTTTACTCTGTAAAGTGAGTATGATCATCCTGTAAACTTGAGTTTGTTTTACAATTTTTGAAATTTGAAACTACCTCCTATTCAAGTGCTTACTTCATAGATCATCCCTTTATGAATTCCGTTTATGAATTCTCTTTCAATGGCTGTCTCCCTCTGATGAATAAAGTGTTAGAAGAAGAACCATTGTAATAGTCCAAGTGAGCTTGCGCCCGCTGCTAGCAGATATTGTCCACTTTAGTCTTTTACATATTGCCGTCAGCCTCAAGGTTTTAAAACGCGTCTGTAAGGGTGATGTTTCCACAGCTTTATAAGGAGTGTTTTGTTCCCCTCTCCAATCAACGTGGGATCTCACAATCTATCCCTTTGGA